TCAGTTACGGAACTTTGAAGATCTTTTCTATTCTTAGATTGTGGTGGCCACTGGTTGGCCCGGGGGTCTTTCGTTTTGCGGCGCTGTTCCACAACCTATGTTTGTCCTTGGAAACGTGAACAGGGTGGAGGCTCCCTGCGTGCATTTTTGTAATGCAGTGACTGGAAATGGAGCCTCTCTGCATGCATTCTTCTTTTTTGTTTTCTTTTTTTTTAGCACTTCATCCAACCCCTTTATAGTCTGGGTGCATGCATTCTTGTAATGCATGGAGTCATGGAGTAGAGAGTCGGGGTCTGCTGCCAGACTCGCATGGTTCTGGTTGTAGTGCAGATGCACATGGACCTTGTCAAAGTGATCGGATTTGGGAAAATTTTGGATCTGCGAAAATGATTTTAGCCAATTTTTTGGCCCACTTTCACGCCATCTATGAAATATGAACTTAGTCTAGAGGAGTGGCAACTGTGGGGCATTAATCGGGAGGTTCGTGGAAAGATGATCTCCGAGGAGGAGGGGCCAACCAGGGAGGCAATCCAACTGGTTTCACACCTCTAATCTTTCTGTATTATAGCCTTAATAGGTCTTGACAGCTTAGCGGTAGCATATTTCTGTGTGTTTAGCAGTCTCCGACTCTCTGCGACAAAAAAAGGGAGTCTTTTCTCTCTTCTCTTTTGTCTATCTTCTCTTTGTTTTCGTAGACAGGGTGCAGTCTGTGAGTTGGCATGATGTGGTCAGTCATTGATGAGAGCTGAGATCAGACCAACCAACGGCAATTATAACTAAACGTCATGTAAACCGGCAATTATAACTAAACGTCATGTAAACCAGCAAAGTAACGAATCGTTCGACGCTTGCTTAGATACTTTTGACGTTTTGAGTACATGCGCAGTCGTTTTATCCCATTTCACAATTCACTCGATACTGGTTGATAGCCTTCAACACCAAGCAGGCCACCTTTTTCAATGTGTGGTACTGGGCTCAGGATCATCTCAGTGAGAGATGTTTTCCTCCAGGAGATCTACTGTACAATGTGTACGATATTTTGGGCACAGACACCAGCGTTACACGATGTTCAATTAGATCGAGGGTATCACTGTTTACATGACAGTTATGGTTTTATATGCCCAGCAAGGCCTGCATAGTCTTATGGCCGACGCTGCTGACCCGAAACGAGTGTGTGTTCGGAACTGACCTGCTGCACTGGGGTGCAGTAGAAGCAATAGAAGGGTAGATTGACGCTTGACGATCGTCGCTCGTTCGAGCCTGTTGGAGACTTTACTTTGGGTGGACCCTGGTGTATCATACCCTTTTTTCAAGTTTTTTGCATGGTTCTCTGTTCCATCATGCAAGTTCTCTCCTGAACTGTTTGTAGTGATGAATCGACTGACAGTCTGTGGGAGAGGAAATGCATATGCTCCATTGTCAAATCTGCAATATGAAGATCCAGCTTCGATTGTTGTTTTGTGCCGAGATCTCTTTTCAACTCCCTCCTCTGCGATCTCGTCTTGAATGGAGTCTGGGACGGGGGAGGGGGGAGGGGGGACGGGGGACGGGGAACAGGCCTGACAGGGCACTCTTTGGAATGACGTTGCATGATCTTCATGGGAGTTGTAACTTTGGGGACCTTTCGTAGATCGTGATTGGGGAATCTATGTAGTGTTTGCGAATTTTGCAGCACTGGTGCTATGTTCTGTACTTGGAAAACATGAGGATATGGTGGAGCAGACTCCCTGCTTCGTTCTTGCGATGCATGGACTGGAAAGCCAGACTACTCTTATATTGGTTCCGGTTGGAAGCATATAGAGTCGTATGCTTTGTCAAAATGATTGCATTTGTGAAAATGATTTTAGTGGCGATTGTGGTTGTCATCTCATGAATCAGCTTCATTACAACATGATGCAATTTTGGATATGCAAACAAAGAGAGGGACAGCGGGCGAGGGAAAAAATGAAAAAAAAAACAGCACAACGGTGCACCATTACGTGTAGGGACGATGGTCAGAGACCTCTGGGTCAGTTTCCCTTATATTAAGCAGCAGCACAATGCTCACAGAGGCCGAAAGCACGTGTATCGATACGCATGAGCTGGCAAGGTACAAGCGACAAGTTCACTTACCACATTGGCAGGTGCAGCTGGGCATGATCAGGGCATATCCTTCCACACCAACGGTGTGGAGTCGGTGCCGGTGCCGGCGCGGTGACTGGTGACTATGTTTTGACTGGCCGGTCACGGTGAACGGCCGCGGCCGTTTCGGGGCCTTCCAGGGCCCGGGGGGGAAACAAATTGTGCAGTTCCATATAGAATGCTGTGTGCTGTGCAGAGGGTGCAATTTTCGTTTTCGTTTTGAATTTTTATTTTTTAAGTACTAAAATAGAGGGAAAAAAAAAACATCGGGGAGCTTGCCTCAAGGAGCAACCCCCTCTTTTTTATTTGGGGGGGGGGTTGGGGGGCAAAATAAATCATGCTGCACCTGGTCGCCAGGGCATGGCGAACTGGATAAGGGATCCGTGACCGGGTGCATGGGACCCGGCCAGGGACCCTGTGACTGCTGACCAGGCATCTGCGAATGTTGTGAAGACTCAAAGCAACAAGCGTATGAAGCTCTGAAGAGAAATGCACAGGAGCATACCATCCCAGATATAACAACGGAAGGGGTACCCCAAGGACAGCCAAAAAACTGTCTAATTATAAAATTGCTATAAACACCTCAAATGCTCTCGTTGTCTGCAGAAGGTCAAAGACTGCTTTGATTCTGATACCTAAATCTGTTCATCTGGGTGGAATTGGGGGTGCTGTGGCCCGTGTGGGGAAAATCTGTAACACACACTCACACACACACAGACGAGGGTTAGAGCAAATGCTCTCGTTGTCTGCAGAAGGTCAAAGACTGCTTTGATTCTGATACCTAAATCTGTTCATCTGGGTGGAATTGGGGGTGCTGTGGCCCGTGTGGGGAAAATCTGTAACACACACTCACACACACACAGACGAGGGTTAGAGCAGGGGAGGTGATGTACAGGGCCCCAGACCTATGCCCCTCGATACCCCCCCCCAATAAATACATAAATAAATAAAATAAAAAAATCTTCGCGTTCGTCGGATTTTCATGCCCGAACGTGTTCGCGTTCGCCGGCGAAAGCGAACGCCGTGCAATCCAGTTTAGAGCATTGGGCGGAGCAGAAACATCAGCGTGCTGAAGGGATAGTGAAGTCAATCTTCTTGAATCTTCTCATAAACCACCGCTATCTCAGTGTCTTGATTGATTGTGGTGCGACGACTAACTTCATGTCACCACATGGGATACGCAAAAGTGGGTTTGGGGATGAAGCAAGTGGCTTTGCAGAAACCTTTCCGGACTCAAGCAGGCAACAAAGAGGTGGTCTCATTTACGCATGTAGTCAAAGTTGCGTGCACTACCTTTGACAAGGACAAGATAGACACCCACACATTGAACTTTCTATGACCTTGACAAGTGTCCCTTCAACGCAGTCCTTCGTTTGGGTTGGCTGCAGTCTCAATGCGAATGGACCAAGTGGAAGGAGCCACTTTTCATGGCGAAAGATGCTCAAGGGAAGCACGAGTCTCCAATAACTTTTGTCAATGCCATGCAGTTCTCGGAGAAGTGGTGTAAGCACAAAGAGGATGAATAATTGTATGTTGCCTTCGCCCTACTTTTGTGCTATCTACTTTTGCGGCTAGTACCAATACTTCTTTATCTAACGAGTCTACTTTTAACACTTCTACTTTTCTACCTTCTACTACTCCAAATGACTCTACTTCATTGTCCTCATTTGTAATCAGCGACCTCATCTAGGTGGACCTTTTGTTGATCCTTCACCCCCACCGGTCTCAATAAGCATTCAAAACCTACTTGACTGATTCCCACAAGTTCTAGTCGAACCACGTGGAGACCCCACGCCATCGGTCTGACACACAATCGAGTTTGTTGAAGGTGTTTTTCCTCCAAAGGGCTGCGTATACCGAATGGGATCTGGCGAGTTATAGGAACTCCGGAAACAAATCGATGAGACGGTCGACAAAGGTTGGATCAAGCCTAGTGAATTTGAATTTGGTGCAACTGTTTTGTTTGTCCCAAAGAAAGGAGGCAAGCTTCGTACGTGTATTGATTATCGTACTCCAAACCGCATCACCTATGTATCACCTGCGGCCGCGGCCGCGGGGTGAAACTCGGCGGGCGGCCGTGATCACGGCCGCCGCGGCTCCGACCATGATTAGGTGTGCAACCGCGACTTTCAGGATTCTTTTGAGACGTAAAAAAAAATAAAATCAAGTTTTAAAAATTCAAAAACCAACTTTCCTAAGCGTCATTTTTTTATTTTTATTTTTTAAGAAAAACTATGAATTTGAATTTGGTGCACCTGTTTTGTTTGTCCTAAAGAAAAAAGGCAAGCTTCATATGTGTATTGATTATCGCACTCCAAACCGCATCACCTATATATCACCGGCGGCCTATGAAATACCCACGGACGTGTCCGCGGGGCCGAGCTCGGAGGGCGGACGTATTCACGGCCACCTCCGCGGCCTACCGGGTCCGCGCCGCGGACCCGATTTTACTAGATTTTTCCTGAATTAAATAATAGGCCAAAAAAAAAAAAAAAAAAAAAAAGGTTGTCGGGAATTTCAAGCCCTACAACCCCTTTTTTTTTTTTTTTGGAATCCGACTTTGTTTAGGATTTTTTT